AACTTTTTGAGTTTATTAATAGCTGGTTTTGATTGTCTGTTTAGCTCTGCATCTTCTTCTGCTACAACTTCAAGTTCAACCATCACATTTTCAACGAGTAATGCAATCTATGCAGCACTTTTCTCGGTCTTCTTCTTCTTCTTACCCATCTTGAACATGTCTAATTCTTATCCACAAGAAGATTTGAAGACTTCTAATCACGGTGAATAATCGGTGGGTTGCAATGATGAAGAAAACTTATGCCTCGTGCCTTGAGAGAATCACAAATAAGACAAACAAATCAAAAGAAATATGGAAAAGATGATAATTAGCATGCTTAATGCTACTTACGAAAATAATAGTTACCTCCTGTTTAAATGATACCATCAAAACTTTAGGATAATTTTCAAGCTGTCTATGCCATCAAAATCATGCTACATAGCTATTTCTTTTATAACCATATGCCAACATCCTTCATTATTGATCTTACAATGCCTTGACCCACTTCCTAGAGCAACCAGCCTTCAAAACAACACCTTTTTCTAACTTTCCTATGAACAAAGATTGAGTAATGTAAGGAATGGAATGGGTATAACAGCAAATACACCATACCAAGCCAACAAACAAAATACCATGATTAGGATCGTTTAAGCCTCCACTGAGGAAGAGTCGTCAAGTTTTGAATCTGGAACAGGTGGGGGTGGGGCCTTGATCATGACACTTTGGATGAACGCAAGCATCTAGACAAAAGGGTAAAATGGTCATTTAATAGATGGTAGTTATTGAGGTCTTTTGATGCACAAAGAATAAAGAATGTGCTTTGATGTAACAACCAACATAAAACTGAAATCTTTTTTCTTCTTTATACCCGATTATGGTCAATAAAATGTCAAACAAAAGGGTAAAATGGTCATTTAGCCTTCAATAGAAAGTAGTTAGAGGTTTTTTTTTCTTATGCACAACAGAATAAAGAATGTGATTCAACATAAAACTGAGATTTTCTTATTTTTTTTATATCCGATTATGGTCAATAAAATGTCAAAAATCGATTAAGAAAAAAAATATATTTCTTACCACAGCAAATGAAGCACACACAAGACTAAAACCAGGAAACTCAAATGGAGCATTGTCAAATAAGAATAAAGCTGTATAAAACCATAAAATTCATTAGTTTTGGTTATAATTATTAAAAAAAATGTATGCTACTATTGTTAAAAAATTAATCACCCGTTAGAGGGTTGAAAATTAGTGGTGAAACAATACTGGCAAAAGAACATAGGCATATAATGCACCCTTATGCCTTTCCCTGAAAACAAAGTAAAACCATACTTAACAAAATTAAATGACCATTTTACCCTTCTATCTAGAAGTAAGACGTAATTAAAAAAAACTTTTAATTAAATAAAATATATAAATGCTTAAGATTACCTGCTCAGTGGGACCTACTTGTTTGGACACAATACTTCTCAACTGAAAAACATCAAAAACTTGATACGATAACAAAAATCAAAAATAAATAAATACTACAGATACAAGTAACTCACACTTGGTCTAGCAAAAACAGCCAGAATCTGAAACATGGCTGCAATATAAACAACCTTTTTGATACAAAAAATAATAATCATTCCAGCGAACTTCTCATCTGTTGCTGCAGTCTCCGGTTGAAACCAGAATCGACTTCTTTCAAATTCACTTTATCGGTAGATTCTAAAATCAGGTTGACGATTGTAGAAAAATTCAATGCGCTTGTGAAATAAACGTTGTTTTTTTCTTCTGTACAATTTTGTGTAACATCCCGAAATATCAAGAGTAGAGTTGAAGGGCTAAAAGAGTAAATTGGGAAAGAGTGACTCGGCGAGTCCATGTGCGGACTCGGCGAGTAGAGTCGCGACTTGGTCGCCTGTTAAGTGGCCGACTCGGCGAGTCAGTGTAATGGACTCGGCGAGTAGGCGCTGAGTGGAGAAAACCCTAATTCTCGGGGTTGAGCCTTATATAAAGATCATTATGTTTTCCTCCCAGCCTCTTTATCACCCCTTGAGCCCCAGAAAACCCTAAATCACGGAGAAGCACCATTGTTGAGTGGATTGGAGCTTGGAGAAGTAATTGTTGAAGGAATTTTGGGAGATTGAAGGCTTGGAGCAAGGGGCTTTTCTTGGATTCGAATTACATTGCAGTTGGGGCATCTCTTAGAGGTAATATCTCGTTATTGGACTGTTGTTATGGGGTTTCTTCATTTTGGGGTTGTGGGAATTTGTCTAGGGATGTAATGGGAAGTCTAGAGGCTAGATCTGAGGTTGCTACCTCAGATCTGGAAGGGATAAGAATCAGAGAGCATGAAAGTCCCTGTGTTGGAGTGTTTAGTGAAGCTTACATGTCCCAAACCCTAGCCCAATGTGCAAACGGCTTAGATCTCTTTGGATTTACGTAAAGTTTGCCACTTTACGTGATGGATGAGTGGTAGGAGACTAGATCTATGCTTTGGAGCAGTTGCATGGCCTGGAATGCTTCTAAATGTATTCAGACCGGTGGTACTCGGCGAGTCACATGGGTGGACCCGACGAGTTGGATGAAGATGGCCTGGAACTCGGCGAGTTGTATGAACAACTCGGCGAGTAGGTTGAAGATAGCCGTAGACTCGGCGAGTCTGTTCTTGGACTCGACGAGTCTTGTCGAAGAGTCCCAAATATTTTCTGGTTGATTCGAGAATCAGCGAGTTAAGGGATGACTCGGTGAGTTGTGTGCGAGTGGACTCAGAGTTGTGGGACTCGGCGAGTCTCGGGGTGACTCGGCGAGTTGAGTCGCGGATTGGGGAAGTTCTGAGCACGGGACTCAACGAGTCGACGGGTTGACTCGGCGAGCAGGGTCAACCAGGAGGGTTGACTTTAACGGAGGACTTTGACTTGGACCAAGAGTTGACCATTGACTTTTAGGGCTTCGTCAGCGATGTGGCCTTTGGGCCAAGAGAGGGGTAAAATAGTCTTTTACCCTTAAGAGGGTGCCATGATAGGGTTGATTCTAGTCTCGAGAGTTATATTCATGAGAGTATTTGCCTTACGTGTTAGGCGGTGGCGGGTTCGAGATTCAAGTGTGGGGATATCTGCTTTCTGTTTGCCAGGTGAGTCTTCTCACTATACTTTACCTTGAGTAGGTAACCAGAGTTATGCGATCAGAGTATTTGTATGCTATATGTACGTGATGTGTTGTGCTACATTATTTCTATGTGATTTATGTTGTGTATGTTTATAGATTGGAACCGGAAGGTTCCCAGAGTTAGAACCTGAGGGTTCACAGAGTTTGGGTGCACAGACCCATAGAGTTATAGCCTCGAGTGGCTAATATGTGTTATGTGTGGTATTTTGGGGAACTCACTAAGCTTCGTGCTTACAGTGTTTTGTGTTATGTTTCAGGTTTCTTTCAGGATCACGGGACGGCACCGGCTTGATTGTACACACCGGAGAAAGAGTCATGTTTTAAGGATCATGGTTTAATATGCAAGTGAAAATGGAGTTATGTTTTGTAATTTGATTATGAATGAGATTTTAAACAAGTGTTTCTAAGAATTAAACGATTATTTTAAATGAAAAATTGTTTTGAAATTTACGGTGTTACATTTTGTCCATAAATGGTTCCCTGAAAACCTAGTGTGCAATTCGATGATAGAAAAAACGGTGCATTTTGCTGAGAATTAATATCACCGAAAAACTTGCAAAACTTGCTTCTTAGCAAGAACAGGGGAGCACAAGATGAAGGAAGAACAATGAAGAAAGCAAGAGGAATTAAAGAAAAGCGAGAGAAATAGTATTGGAGGGCGGTGAGGCGGTAATCATAGTTGATAAGAACAGAAAAGGAAGTGTCGTTACCATGGAACACCAACTCCTGCTTTGTTTCAAGCGCCGGTTAGAAAACGGGTAGAATCATCGATTGATGTAAGTTACACCGCCTTCCCCCCAAACGACACATCAGACTTCTTTTCTCTCGTTTCCTAGGGCTCCTCCCTTGAACCTTAAATTCAAGGTTTTCTCTTGTCTTGTCCTCTCTTAAGACCAGTCCTAATCTCCAATTAGCTAACATGATAACTGCTTCCAAAAAACAAACAAATATTATTTAGAAATAAGGCTATAGTTAAATAAGATAAGTAGCTACATAAAATGAGAAAGTTTTACCAAAATCACATAAAAAAGACACAAACTAAAGTCATATTTGGAAGAGAAGGGACTTACTAACAGGTGCAAAATCTGATTAAAAAAAACTTTAAAAATACAGAGTTAGAAATGAAATTAGGGTTCTAGCCCTTTACCTGGATCGATTCCAGACATGATGAAGAAAAGAGAATAAACATAGGGCTTCAAAATATATTCACATGAAAAGAATGCTAGAAGATGGATTAAAGTGAAAAGTGTTGAAAAATTGAAAGTTTAATATGAAATACAACCAATATCTAAGCAGACCTTATGAACTGGATTCCAAATTGAAACTCTAATTTTTGTTGAAAAGAAGCAAGAATCAAATGAGTTGGAATACACAATCTGCGTTCTTTCAAATCATGTAAAAATAAAAGATAATAAAGATGAATCATATGGTGTTCAAGAGAAAGAGAGAAACAAAACCTAGAACGGAAGCGAAGTCCAGAAGATGGTCGAACCAAGTAGCTGGTGGCAAGGCTAGAAGCAAAACCCACTTTCAAGTCTCCTGTGTAGAAGGCCCAATAAAGGTTAAAACAGGAAATTCACATGGATCGGCTAGGATTATAATAAATAGAGAGAAATGTCACAGTAAGGGATGTTCCTTCTCCTTGTATACATGGGTGACCTGATATATATGTATATATATATATATATATATATATATATATATATATATATATATATCCAGGAGATTAACTGTTGGTGCACTTCATCCATTAGAGGGCCCCTTACGATAGTGAAAGCTTTGTGTAACAAAAGAAAGCGTTAGTCACTTGCAATAGACAACAATAGTGGATAACTTCCCCAAAAGAGTATGGTTGACCTACCCTTGAGATTTTATTGGACATGTGGCATTAAGACGGAAGATATAAGCTCCAGAAGCCTTCAAAAATTAGGAACAACATCAGAAAATGAACAAAATTCATGTAACTAACTTCCATACACACACACACACAAACACACATATTCTAGTTAAGAAATTGAATATACCTGGTCTGTGCCATTATAACAAGAATAGTAGATGTACCAGTGTTCCATGGCTCCTTCAACCTTCAATCATGTGCCAAACATGAGAAAATCAATGTCAATAGAGGAATCGAGCAGAAAACCCTAGCTTACAGATGAAATCAACATAAACAGTTCAAATTTAGATGAGAAAATCAATGTGAATAGTGGAATCGAGTAGAAAACCCTAGCCTTTTCCTTCACCCATCTTTCTTGTGCTGTTGCTGCTGCTTCTTGGTTGTTTGTAGAGAGAGAAAGAGAGGAGTGAAAAAGGGTGAGCTGCTATTGATTAAGTAAGAAATGGAAAAAGAGCGGTGAGAGACATACCTTCTTTGAGAAGTAAGAGATCCAATGACGGTATTGTATTCAGACACATTGTTGGCATAGTTTCTCTTGGCATAATCGTCGGCGTAATCGGAAAACTGACGACGGCCAAGTGCTGCGAGCAGTGGTTGGCGATTGGCTGATGATCCAACAACAGTGAAAATGAATGTTATTGGCTAATAAAAGCTTTAGTTCATGGGTGCGAACTTGTGAGGTCCAGATCATAAAAAGTAAAAACCATAGTTCTTCTTTGATATCGGGGACAAGAAAAGCCTTAAAATCGCCGGCATTTCGAGTTTGAGGATTCGTAGACTCCCAGTCGCCGACTCCATGAAAGATATTGTGAGGTTAGGTTTTTTTGGGGAAGGCGGGTACTTGAATTTTTTGGGGACTTGGTTTCCCCCCTTAGTTGCATTAAAGAGGGACGCGCTTATTAAAATTTTATAAAGTGACATCTCTACACGACGACGCCCACTTAAATTTATGTGCCTTCCGTGTTTTTAATTTTTTTTCGTTTGACATTAATATTGGGGCACACACAAATGCGTATCCTCTATTCTTCAAATTTTGCAAAACTGACATTATTTTTTAGGGCACGCACCAATGCGCGTCCTCTATCAGCGAGCGTCATTGTTTGCGCGTCATTAAAGGCCTGTTTTCTAGTAGTGATAGCACAACGTGTTGAAAATATTATTTATACGAAAATAATATATGTTGGAATTAACAAAATTAACGTTGTTGATCCAAAAATAGGATATTTATTCAATAATTAGCGAACAGAGGGGTATTTCGTATTAATACTTGTGGGTTATATATTAGGAAAACATCAAGATTTACCTAAAATTCTAATACGGGTCGAGTTGACTTTTTTGACTTGTTGACTTTTGTTGGATCCAAAATTGACAGTTGTCACATCATCCCCTCGTTAGAAGGAATTTCATCTCGAAATTCGTACTGTAGTGGGTACTCATGAGCTAGGGAAAAGATACAGATACTTTTGTTTCATTTAGTCCTCACCCACCCTAGTAAATTTCAGCCCTCGCTTGGCATTCCAACGGACCTTTATTACGGGTATGCGACTTTGTTTTGTCCTATTGACCTCCATGTCGATGATTTCCATAGGTTCTTCTACAAAGGGTAGACTCTCGTTTACCTCGATTTCATCAAGTGGAGTGTATGTTACTGAGTTCCTGTGGTAGTTGAAGTTCGTATGCTACTGGGCCTATCCTGGCAAGGATTTTAAATGGTCCGAGATACCTTGGTTTTAGTTTCCCAAGTTTTCCAAAACGTCCTTTAATCATTCATAGATCAGATTAATCTTCTCTATAGTATCCCATATGATTTCAGGGTCGATGAGGGTGCTATTATTCACTTGTCCTCTTCTGTTGGATTAGTGTCTAAGTCCATAACTATTTTGGTATGTACTTGACCCGATGGTGCATGGTCCTTTTGGGTTGCCTTCACCAAAGCAACTTGATTGGAGAAATGAATAAAGAGAGAGAGGATAATATGATTTATTAATATGTTATAAGAATAATATATTAAAGGAGAAATTATATTTGTTTAATTAATATTGGTCAATAATTAATTAAGAATTGGTTTTGTGATCAAATGTAATTAATTAAACTAGAGGGGCTGAATTGTAATTATGTGATAGTTACAAAATAAGGTAAGGATTATCTTATATATATGGTGAACGAATTTGAGGTGTAAATCCCTTAGAATTCGAGTATGATAAGGATTCAAGGATTATCTTATTGGTTGCTTAATGGATAATCAACTAGATAAGGATAATGACTGAAACCCTATCTCTACACCTATATAAACACCCCTAGGGCCATGAATTCGTGTATCCCTTCCCAAGAGGTCCTAGATACGAATTCTAACCTCTCACCTCTCTCCTTATACCTTCTCCACTTGCTTATCGTGTTTGTGAGCCATTAGAGGAGTGACACTTGTGACTCTAAGCCTTCCAAAGTCAATACAAGGAGATTTGGGATTGTTATTGCTACATAACAATCAAGGTAACATTATAAACTCATTCTTATGTTAATATGATTATTTGAATACTAGAATTAGGGTTTATAGTCTTGGATTCAAAGCATGTACAATAGAGAAACCTAGATCCAAGCATTAGGGTTTGTATGAGCACATAAGATGTCTTATGACCAAAACCCAACATCTTCATCCCAGCACTGAGGTGATTTGCACTTGTGCTTTTAGAGGTCTTCAAATGGAGCAACCTTAATGCTAGTGTGATAATTGTTGTTGTATGAGAACTCGATGAGCGGTAAATGGGTATCCCATGCATTATGGAAGTCTATAACACAAGCTCTCAACATGTCTTCCAATGTTTGAATGGTTCTTTCGCTTTTCCCGATGGTTTGAGGTTGATATGTTATACTCATGTCGAGTTTGGTTCCCAAGGACTTTGTAGTGATTTCCAAAACCATGAGGTAAATCTACTATATCCGTCAGAGATAATGGAGATTGTCATACAATGTAAACATACAATCTCTTTCTACTATCTTCGTCAGAGATAATGGAGATTATCATACAATGTAAACATACAATCTCTTTTATGTATGTCTTTGTTAGTTTCTCCATCTTGTCTGTCTCCTTTATTGGCAGGAAGTGTGCGGATTTGGTTAATCTGTCGACAATCACCTAGATGGTGTCAAGCTCGCCCTTCGTCTTGGGAAACTTGGCTATAAAGTCCATGGTTATCCACTCCCACTTCCATTTGGGTATATCTGGTTGCTGAAGCAAACCCAAGGGCTTTTGGTATTCTACATTGTGTTGGATAAGGTGTCTAAGTCCATAACTTATTTGGTATATACTTGACCCGACCCGACATGGTCCATTTGGGTTGCATTTCATCCAAACTATTTAAGGATAATTTTATGAGAGTTATACACATATGATTATTAATATATTATAAGTTATAATATATTAATATGAAGTCCTGTTATTTAATTAGTCTTAGTCTTAAATTAATTATGAATTAATTTAGAGATTAAAAGGAAGACTAATTAGATTGTGGGCTATTGGTTTTATATGGTGTGGGCTAACACTCATTTGTTAATGGGATAGGCTTGTATGGAAGTCCGTGGATAATCCATGGAGCTTTTAACCCATGGATCCTTGGAAAAGGAAAGGTCATGGGTTATTAGGGTTTCACCCTAATCATGTATACTATATAAGCATGCTTATGTTGCATGAAATAGCCACTAGTGTGTGTGTTTGTGTGTGACCGAAAATTATAGTGTGTATACACTCTCTAAAAGTTTTCCAAGAGTTTGTGGTGATTTGTGATTCCATTTGAGGCATTCACACTATTGGTGCTTGGCCCTCAAACTCCTTAAGAATCAAACTCATCAAAAAGGTATGTAATCTCATCTAATTCTTTTATGTTTAAAAGTACCCCATGCCATGTTAGATAGGTTATGAACCTTGGAAAATTATTATTTTGCATGTATTTAGACAAACATAGATCCAAGGTTTATTAGGGTTGCATGCACACTTAGGAAGTGTTAGATTGCTCAAAACCCAACAGTGGTATCAGAGCCTAGGCTTGCTTGTTTGATACTTGATGCAAAATAGTAAAAAAAAAAGTCGAAATTTTTGCTGTCTGCATGATGGACTCGCCGAGTCCATGGGGGGACTCGCCGAGTCCAAGGCAAAATTCATCCTACTCGCCGAGTAGGTTCGTGCACTCGGCGAGTAGAAGGTTCAGAATGCAGATTTTCGACTTTTGCTGCTGGAAATGGACTAGAAACTTTACCCTAAACTGTTTTGATGTTTTAAAACTTATTTTAGTTGGTGTAATGGTTGTTCTAATCCATTTACAATAGCATATATCAAAATTTCATGCTTTGTATGTGTTCATATAATTTTTGAAACTTTGATAATCATGTTCATGTTCTTATGAATTTAGAAGATGATAGGAATTATTTGCTGAATTGTTTAGGATTAATTCTTGATCATTTATGTGTTTTAATGGAGTCCATAATTTGTCCTCAAGTTATGGATATCCAAAGGTCACTTTTCTTTAACACACATTAAAAACACATAAGTTACATAAAATGAAGAGTCTTCATTTTATGAACCTTTAATTCATAAGTTATGAAATGAAAAGTTTTGAAGAGTTACAAAACTTGTCCTCAAGTTTTGGAATTTGGAAAAGTTTCACACACTTTAATAAACTTTAATTCCAACACTTAGAATTTTAAAAGTTAAAATTCAACACTTATACTATTTATAACATTAATGGTTAATTATATATATATATATATATATATATATATATATATATATATATATATATATATATATATATATATATATAGTATAAGAACAAGTCGTTTTACCGTTAGTAGGCCTCATTCACGAAGCCGGTCTATAAGGTGGGTATAAGGTTGTTGCCTATAAAATGGCGACTTAATGGGTGTATACTCTCACCCACCGCTTGCTTGACTGGTGGAGGGTCGTTAGCCGAACGGGTAAGATAAAGACTTATAAATTCTCATTAAGTATGATGAATATTATAAAGTAACTAAATCTTTTATTTAATTCCCAATCTTAGTTACTTTAGGAAAAATGTGAACATGGTGCTAATCCATGGAATTCACACTTTGTACCTTACCAAGTCGTTGGTGGAGCGTGTGTGGTTAACCGGCACACTAACTTGGACTAGTAAGGATCACGAAGGGTGACTTAATGTTTGTCATAGATCAATGGAGCGTGTGTGGTTAACCGGCACATTGATTAGGTGATAATATTAAGGGTACCAAGTGAATTGGCATGGTTATTCACACCTTGTTTTGTGATCCTCGGCATCCCAGTCACAAAACTTGAAGGGCACAATCGAGATTGAAACATGCCATTGAAAAGTTCAATGAATCTCAAAAGAATCTAGGAATTTCAAATCCAATTAAAACCTAATAAATCATTTCGTTTTCGTGGTGGAAATTGGTGAATCGTCATTCACCTACCTTTCAAATATATTATTACTTAGATTACGGCATCCCTCTTCTAAGTATAATATATTGTGATTGGATCCTAGCCTTAATATTACATTTGGGTGTCTTATTAAGGACTCTATATATCTAATCTAAACTTACTTTCTTCTTTCAGATGTCTTCCAACACTAATGCTTCGGGCTCTAACCCAACTGGTTCTTTCTCTCTCATGAATCTTTGTGGGAGAGTCATCTTTGATGGTTCCAACTTCATGGACTGGATAAGGAACATCAGGATGGTAACTCGTTATGAGGACAAGGAATATGTCCTCGATAAGGAGTTAAAAGAGCTTGATGAGTCTACTGCTACTC